AAGCGGAAGAGTCCACGTCATCATCACACAATGAAATGCGACTAGAGAGAGAATTTACAGTGATCGGCCATGTCGAAGGTGGATAAGCCGGCGTCGGCGTAGCGGAGCATAGCCTCAACGGCGTCGTCTCGGTCGATTCGGCCCCATCCGCCGCTCGTCTGCCACATTCCGTTCAGCACTCGGCATATCTCTAGCGAATCGTTCCTGTTACTCACCGTCACTCGCCGATTCTCACTCGTCGCCGTGCTCACGTCCGCGCACCGTACCGAGGTTGCGCCGCTCCCTCGCCACCGCGGCTCTCTCCCAGTGGAGTTGAAGCGCGTGGCGGTGGAGAACACGCGGTGGCCAACAATAGCTGCCATTTCTAGTGGATTGATTTTGAGACAGAAGGCGCGAAGAAGAGGATAAGGAAGTGGAATCAACCATTCACTATGGCTTCGTTCATTTTTCAGTTTTCTGAAATGACGATACTGCCCCTGTGTCAAAACCCATGGGCCCAATTTTGTTTGCTAAAGCCCAAAGAGTACATTCTCCATGAACCATTATTCTTTTCTACGTACGAAAGTTATTTTCATCTGTTTATCCATTAGCAAAAGGATATGATATCATGAATTTACTTTAGAAATTATAAATATTTTTTAGAATTTATTTGTCGAAGATAAATAACTTTTTTTCCTTTTTTCAAATAGTTAAAGAAAATGATGATGACAAATTGCAAGTGAATTATTAATAGAAAGTTATGAGAGAATTGTTATCAAATTGAAAAAAAACCAAAAATACAAAACAATAAAAAGAGGAGAAACCAACATAGGCAAGCAAAACAATCACATTTTTCAAGAAAGTATTCGATCTATAGCTAGGTAAAGAGAGACACATGATTCAACAACTACTCGAAAGTTTGAAACAACATAACTTTCAAAAGTATATAATTAATCTCATCCAACTGAAAGAAAATTGAGAATAAAATTATATAAACTCTATTTTGGTGACTGGGAACCAGAGGTTGATGCCTGAGAACTAGAGGCTGATGATTGAGAACTCTCAATTCTAATAATCCTTCGCTCCATCTGTTAATAAATTAGAGTAATCAAACATGTTATTGTACAATACGAGTCTTGGAAATTCAAGTAACAAAAAACAAATTATCATGTTCTTTGTTGTTTCTTTCATTTAGTCATTATCCAAGTGTACTTTAGAAGGAATTTAAAAATTAAGAGTTCATGCAACTATCTTCTTTCCGAAACAGAATGATACATGTCTTTATCAGAGAAAAATAAAATAAGGTAATATACCTGAACAAAGGCAGCTAACTTGTTCCTGGTATTACTAAACTCATTTTTTAACCAAGGCAGAGATCGAGAAAAACTGAACAACAAAATCCACAAATAAAAATTAGTTTCAAATTATATAAAACATAAGACAACAATTAATATATATGTTATTAATATAAAAAGTACATTGTATTTAGTGCATGTTTAGTTACACGTCTAAAACGTGATTCAAAATAAAAAACATGTTTAAAACGTAAAAGTTATAACTGATAGCTTCCATGTAAACCAAATACACATTTAGTAAAGAGGAAAAAAAAGAAGAAAAAAAATGTCAGAAGTATAGGAAAATAGATAAGGAATAGAATGGAAAAAAAAATGTTGTTTGATAAAAAAAATGTTTATTTTTTTATAAATAACTTTATTTAAAAATAATTTTTTTATAATAAAAATTATCCCGTCAATTTCGTGCACTTTCCATCATATAAGAGGAAAAGTTTTCGACAGTGACTGAGTGAGTATGTATCACCCAAAATTATACCAACTTCTCTCATTTCAAACACATAATCTATTTTTAACTTCTTTTCAATTATTCATACTTCGTTTCCCTTTTCATCTACTTACCTCTTTCTGAACAGTGTTAGTGTGTGTGAAAGAGACATGAAGTAAATATAGATTTTTTCTTTATTTGTATCTCAGGTTCTATTAAGTTTTCTTCTATAAAAAAATGCTGTAGTAGATAACAAAAATATATTGTACGGAGATAAAAGATCATATAGTGGATAATGAAAACAAACTTTACCTTTGATGGTTTTTTTCGTCACAGGCTTTAATGATATCAGGGCATGCAAGTCTCATATGCTCTGCACCAATGCTGCAAATTAACATCAATTACAAATATCAATATAACTTCAATTGCTAAAGAGATGCAATATCAAACTTCTTTTCCTCCCTATAATAAAAAACAAGTAATATTATATATAACTTTGACATCACAGACACTTCTCGAGTTATCGTTAGAGCATTTCATTATAATACAAACATTTTTTTCTAAAGAAAATAAACAATAAAAGTTACAAAGCATTTCATCTTAAAGTTAAGATGCTACTACAAACATCTTTATATATACCTAAAAACATAGATCTATGTTGCTTTCAAGTATTGCATCATATTGAGTATGAATATTAAAGCATGTTTATATGTACATAAATAAAGCAAATTCAAGATTTAAGATTCCCACTACAAATAAAAATATTTCACGAGTCTTCACATTACATTCTACGTTTTTGTATTGTGATCATTGGACGTAATATTATTAGAGGCTTTATGATTTAGAGGTTAAAAGTTGGATAGTTACAATCTATATCTTAAATAAAGTTGAATTTCAACACATGCTAAAATAAGTCTTCATTTTCTATGCTTATATATTGAAAAAAAAATTAAAGTCTTGTCTATCCTAAGAAAAATTATTAAGTAGTATAGGACCATCAAGTATCCATAATCCTAACTAACTACTACATGACATGTATTTAAAATTTTTAATTTATGAGAAGCTGATAATTATATTTGATTACATGTCATGTAGAGACTTGTTAAAAATCATATGATTCATGATTACATAATAATTTATCTTATCCTATATCATTAAAATAGGTCATACATCATTTAATCACATATTAAACTAAATAGTGTTGCATATAAGGAGATATAATGAAAAAAACTCAAATCTTACCTATCCTGGTTCATTAAAATGAGTCACCCCTCATTTATTCATATACAAATCTAATACTATTGGACGTAAAATATTTACAAGAAAAAATTCCACATCAATCATATATAAAATAATTAAAGAGTATAAAAGGAGAGAATTTTCAACTTACAAACTAATTTTGTAGAAATGAGTTAATCATATAATTCACATTTTAAGACTCAAACCAAAGGGGTGTGTTAGATAACATATAAAGTTTATCCACAATCCTTCATTTATTAGCTTTAACTTTAATGATTATCCATCATTTACATGATATTAAAGCTTTCATAACCAAATAGTTTAAAGATTTATCTTTGTTAAGTCTATGATAATTAAGATAAAATCTAATTAGTCCAAATGAATCTTAGTTAAGAGGGTTAGCCATTCATGAAAACACACCTAACTAAGAGCTTAACTTTTATGAGAGTTTGTCCTCAACACTTAAAAATACTCATTTAACATGCATGGTAAAATTTGGAAAAATGTGTTTTTAATGACTATATTTTTTGAGCAAACATGTTTCAAGGTCCTCTACTTCCATATTAATGTATTTTGTTATCATACCTCTGAAAATATGTTGATTTAATATGTCCTAACTTAAAAAAAAACATGATAGTTTCTTAAAAATGAAGAAGTAAATTCACATATATTTAAATTTAAAGACCAATTTTATCCATATGAAAAACATGGAAATCTTGATCATATTGGACTAAATATGTACAAGGATAAAAACACATTTTCCCCCAACACAATGTCATGTATCTAGTGCAAATGGTTTATGTTTTGAAATGATGCATTCATTATATGTCTTTAAGTTTTTGTCTGTTGACTTTATAAGGGTTTAAAATTGAGCAAATAAACTAAATAAAAATTGAAACTATAATGATTATGTGCCTATTCATTCATGCACTGTACACAAGAAATGACATAATCAAATAGATCGTTTTAGACTAAACTATACAAATGGTTTCTTAGGTCAAGAAAATGCTTTTAATGTTATTAAGACCAAAGGGAAAGTCATGGATAATTAAATGGAATAAATATCCATATCATAGATATAAACTATACAAGTGTTCATAGGTCAAGAAAATGTTTTTAATGTTATCAAGACCAAAGAGAAGTCATGGATAATTAATAGAAAATAATGCAAGATAATTATCATAATAAGTTTTTAACAATAAAATTAGTGTCATTGTAACAACTAAATTAAAAGATGTAGTATTTAACGTGAACTGAGACTAAATGAAAAACACATGCAAGCTATAATTATCAAAGCCTTATAAGGAGTATCAAGTTTTAAAGATTACACAAATCATTCTATAATCAATAAAATGAATCATTTCTTATGTTAAACTAATTAAATACACAACAACTCAATTAGTTATTTTGAACATGACAAGTAATTATTTTACATAATTATTAAATTCAAGAGAAAGAAAATGATAAACATATTTCTTTTTAATATCTACATCAAGTAACATTTAAAATAAACCTAACAGGTTTTTAAAAAATAGTAGTCACAAAATATATAATAAGATACTCTTTTAATTTCCATTGCACTAAAATTGTATTTTTCATTACTGAAAAATATAATGAATTAGTTTTATATTACCTCGTGTCTACGAGAACATGTGATGGATATTATCATGTGTTTATTAAAATGATAGTGTAAAAAAATGTTTACCAACTAGTCTACAGTGTTAAATATGACTACAACACCATGCATATTCATCATGCAACCAATGATGAACATATTAAACAATATAATATAAACAAATCACATGATTTTTGTCCAAGCAAACACAAAGTGAGACAGGGAAGCAACATAGAGGGATGACCAATAATACAAAATATCAAAGGGGTAAGAACATTAGAAGAATAATGGTTGATTTGTTGGATAGGAGTGTTCTCTCTCTCCCTATTATTTTTCCCTACTAAACATGTTAGGGCTTAAGGGATGCCCCTGTTAGAATGGTGCCAAAGGAATCCCCCTCCCATATACGGGACTCAAGAAGGAAAAGAGGATCCCTACTCAGATCTCATACCAATATATAACTTTTCAAGCAAATGTTTTAACCAAGTGAACTATACATGCGAGGCACTAAAACAATGTCCATTTTGCATAATAATTTAATATATCACTCCAAGTTTCATAAACCATTGGTTAACAACATTACCTGTAGGTCAAATTTTTTTTTACAATATCATGATGTCATATAAAAAGGAAAAAAACATGAAAGAGAAAACAAAGGTAAAGAAGTATTGTGTTTTATCAATACATTTTCTTCCTTTATTGGCTAATTTACTTGTTGCATTATTGCTTTGTGCAAGGTAAAAAAAGAAATAACAGAAGTATCAAAATGAATAAAGTATGAGTAAGAATTATTGTTTAAGATCCATCATGGTAATAAATGAGCATTTCAAATTACCTTGCACTCTTATCCTCTATTTCTCGAGCAAGGGATGCCAACTTACTAAAGTCAACCGTTGGATTATCACTGTAGATATAGAAATAATAGTAAGAAAAAGTAGATAAACAATTAGTTTGAAAATAGAAAACCATGAAAGACAACATTACACGTGACGAGAAAGCTCAAACAAGATCTTTTCCACATCTGCAAAATATGTTTCTATCATTTGCACAGCACGATCTGTTTCCCCGATGCGTTTCAAAGACATAATCACATTAAATTGATCACTCACTACCCCCTACAATGAATAATAGGATAAAGCACGATTAAACATCTTAACAGTATTTCTCTAAAATCAGAAGAATATACCACAGCAACACTATATTAATGTACAACTCAAATGAAAATCATAGTTAAATATCTAGAATATTTGCACCAGATATTGATGATTGTTTCTTCGATAAATTTTTTTTTTTAATTTGAAATACTGAGACCAATGCCGATCATAACATTTCATCACCATGATAAATATGAACTTTTATATTATATAACATAATATATATATATATATATATATATATGAATGATTTCATTAAACTTTAATATATTATTTAGTGTGATTTTTTTTTTATTTTAATTAAGTCTCTAAACTATAATTGAATTTTTTTATTTTATATTTTTATAATTTAGTCTTTGAGATTAGATATTCATTTATTAATCATGAAATTTGATTGAATATTATTTATATCATCATGTTTGGATAATCATATTACATTACTATTTTTTTGTCATCATTCAAGTATATTAGGTTTTAATCTTTATTTGTAAATTTATTTATTATTCATAATTTTTATGATTAAGTAGATTATAATAATTTTTAAGAACATAAAACATGTTACATATGAATGAGGAATCATAGGATAATAATATGATATGATTGTGTATGTACCATATAAAAAATATTATGTCATATTTAGTAAATAAAATTGCAACCTTATGTATCAATTTACAAAAAGTTGAAAGATTCAATTGTAATTTTTTTTTAATTTAAGAACCTAATTAATTTTTAAAAAAAAGTTTAGATTTCAAATGATGCATGAAAAAACTTTAATTAAAAATAACATATTTTATTAAAAAGCAGCGTTAACAAATTTTAAAAAGAATACTACATTTATTATTTAATTTATTTTTATAGTAAAAATATCTATTATATAACGCTATATAAATGATTTTAAAAATCAAAAGCATCTGCAAAATAGAAAGATCAAAACATGACAATATTTTTTAGAAACTAAAATCAAATTTTGAAAAGTTTTATAAGAACTAAAAATATATTTTATCATTTTATGAATGTAATACATAAAAAATAACAAGATTTTATAATCATATAAAAAATAATTTTTATTTATTTTTAATATAATATAAAATTAGAACACTATTATATTATTTTTTAAATTGGACCCTCTTAAAACATAGATTGTGAGCGATTACACTTCTAAACAACCGACCCGGCTGAGTAAGACAAGCATTAAGTAAATCAATCGACTAGGGCATTTTAAGGTTATTCTCAATTTCTCATACAAGAAAAATAAGGAAGAAGAAATGATAATCCTAAATAGATCCGTAACAAATAATCAAAGACATACAAATTAAATCACTTGGAACAGAAATTTTCCTACCTCATCAAACAATGATTTCATGTATCCTTGCAAGAGTCCTTTGAGAATCTGTAGAGTCATGTTTTTTTTTACGAAAATTATAAATTTTCTCTTGAGAAGCAAATCGGTAATGAAGATCGTGGCTTTGGTTAGAAGGGATTTTTATATTACAAGAAAAGGTTTTACTTTTTTAACTTCACATTTAAAGCACAAACACATACAGACAAAAAGTACAACTGTCAAATGACTGAGGTAAATAAGTACAGATAGAAATTATCTGTAGTACGTCAGTTATCTTAAAATCAACGTGACTTGTACCGTGACTGATTTTACATTCAATTATTTATTTATTTTATTTTTTATTTATTTTATTTTTTATTTTTTAATTGTAATTTTTCCTAAATTTAAAAGTAGATTCACACACTTATATGTCAATACTGGTAGACTATACTTTTAAGTTTGTACATATTATTGTCATTCTTTTATGCACTGGTGGAAAAAAGTTAATGATCACCTCAAAAAATTATATTCATTATAATCCTCTTATATTAATTAGACAATTTCCTTTTGTAGGAGTTTTCTTCAAATAAATTATTCCTCATTTGTTAAATTAATTTTTTTAATTTAATTTATTGTTTATTTTGAATTATCATTTATTTCTGTCTTTATGAGAGATGCTAAAAAAATTAAGGTATAAATGATTGTGAGTCATTCAAATAATGAAATACAATTACTTAATGTATTGTGTGAAATTAAAATTCAGAATTAAAATGAAAAGTAATAAGTATAATGAAATTTATTATTTAAAAAGAAGAAAATGCTTATTTTTATTACAAAATATTCCATTAAAAAAATAATAAAAATTATTATTGTTTAAAGTCAAGACCGACTAATTTAATCAAAAATGAATCAAGTGATTGTTTCATCAATTAAAAAAAATCAAATTATTTCAAAACTAATCCAAAAACAATGTAAAAAAATTGTTTAAATCAATGTTTTTTTTAAGTGTTCCTTTTTATTTTTATTTTGTATTGCTCAAAAATGTTTTTAAGATAAATAAAAACACCATCTTTAAGAATTACACATATGTATACATTGTTTTTTCAATTATTTAATAGAATATATAATTATTTGCATTATTCTATAATTATTTGTACATTGGCTTCTTATAATCATGTATTATTTTATTACTGAAATTATTTTATAACATTAAAATAAAAATTTAATTACTATGGATTTGACCATAGTTTAACCACAATTCAGCCAAAAAATTTATGAAACAATGCTTTCATTGATTCAATTGTTGATATGATAAAAATAAAAAAGAATTAAAGATTGCAATGGTGTTTTGAAACAATATTGTGAACCAGTAAATTGTGAAATCATCTAATCTCTCTGATATCGAGAAGATAAAGTTCTTCTAGCTAAAAAAAAATAAAACCCTCAAAATAAACAATAGTAATGACCTCTCTATAACATGTATAAGGAACAAAGAAACTCTCAAAGACACGATAAATTTATTTATACATATAAGTTATTATAAAATTTAATTATATATAATAAATATTTAACATTGCATTTCACATGCTAAAATACTAGTTCCAATAAAATGTAACGTTGAATTCCATTAATTTGATGACTTATAAATTATCAATTATAAAATTTACCATCTAAAATTTATTTTAGTCCTACAAACAATTTACCATCCAAAATTTAACAGACGTTAATGATATGGATTTTATGCTAAATAAACATTAATTATATATTATTTAATTTCTTTTCTGTTTGTAGTTCAGGTTGTGTGTTAATGTTGTAACTGGAACGAACCGTTTCCCAAGCAGAACGGGCCATTCTCCAACAGAATGGACCGTTTTGCTTGCACGCACAGTCTGTTAATTTTGAAACTGGAACGTCCAAGCAGAACGACTCGTTTTGATCCATTCATCATGTGTATATTTTTGCATCTGGAACGGCCCGTTCTAAAATGAGAACGGGCCGTTCTGCAAGTACTGCAAGGAGAACGGGCCGTTTTAGATCCAGTTTTACACCATGTTCAGATCCAAGACAAAAAAAAAAAATTTAAAAATTCACATCATTAATGTCTGTTAATTTTTGGATGATAAATTATTTGTGAGACTAAAATTGTCTATTATTTAAATTTATAGACCAAAATTAAGCAATTCAAATTATGAGGACCAAAATTACTCCTACACTAAATTAGGAGGACCAAAAGTGTAATTAAGTCTATTTATTTTATATAAAGTTTATATAAATTTAGGCTCCTAAATTTCTAACGGATCTGACTGGGCCAACAAATGTGCATATCATAAGAATTTCGTTCGACCCACTTTTACACATTGGCCTGGTAGACCCGATTCACCAAATCTAAAACCCATGTCAGAAATTTGGGCCAAATACCGTTGTGGCCCAATCGAACTAAAAGCAAGCGAGTAACTGAGTAAGTAACTGCCATCGATTTGGAACGAAAACGAACCACCGCAGAAAAGAAGCGCCATCTAGGGTTTTGAAAAACTAAACCCTGCACCTCGTAAATCCGAACACGAGCTTCTGAATCTCACGCTTCAATGGAGCACCCAAACCCGAACAAGAAGAGGAAGAAGGCGAACCAGAACCCGGAGGCCAAGTTCCAGTACGAGCTCAACTCGTGTTCCAAGGCGAAGGACTTGCGCGGCGCTATATCCCTCTACGACGACGCCGTTTCCAGCAACACGCGCCTCAACCAGCACCACTTCAACGCACTCCTCTACCTCTGCTCCAACTCCGTCGCCGACGCCGCCCTCAGGCCCACCGCGCTCGACTTCGGCTTCCGCGCCTTCCGCCACATGTCCTCCCTCGGCGTCGCCCCGAACGAGGCCACCGTCACCGCCGTCGCGCGCCTCGCCGCGGCCAGCGGCGACTCCGACCGCGCCTTCGAGTTGGTCAAGAGCATTAGCCAGTACAACAACGCATTGCCGAGGCTCCGAACCTACGACCCCGCGTTGTTTGGTTTCTGCGAAATGCTTAACGCGGATAAGGCCTACGAGGTGGAGGAGCACATGAATGGCGCTGGAGTGAACCTAGAGGAGGCGGAACTCGCCGCGCTTTTGAAGGTGAGCGTGTTGTGTGGTAGAGCGGATAAGGTGTATGAGTATTTGCACAAGATTAGAAGCTCTGTGAGGTGTGTGAGTGAGTCCACTGCGGCGGTTATTGAGGAGTGGTTTCGTGGCAGTGCTGCCTCTGAGGTTGGTGAGGTGGGTTTGGACTTGGGGAGGGTTAGAGAGGGGGTTTTGCGGAATGGGGGAGGCTGGCATGGTTTGGGATGGGTTGGGAAAGGGGATTGGGTTGTGAGTAGAACGAGTGTTGATGATGATGGAAGTTGTTGTTGCGGGGAGCGGTTGGTTTGTGTTGACATCGATGACGCTGAGACCGAGAAGTTTGCTGGCTCTCTTGCTGGCTTGGCCATGGAACGAGAGGTCAAGGCTAATTTTAGTGAATTTCAGGTGTGGTTGATCTCTCCACTCGATGCATTCCAACACAATTTAACTGTGGTGAATGATGATATGTTATTAGTAGAGTTTAATTTTTATGCACTACCAGAAAATCAATCAATCAGAAGTCACCGTATTGCATGATATTTGTAGGTATGGTTTTTAAGCTAGTTATTGTTAAAGTCAACAAACTTATCATACATGATAATTTGTGAAGAAATAATTATGTAAGAACTTTACACTATTGTTGCATATGCTATTTACTCTTATTATCAGTCTAGTTTTATTCGCTTGGTTTTGATGTTTTTCTTGGATCTTTATAGGCTTGGCTTGAAAATCATGCCTCTTATGAAGCTATAGTGGATGGAGCAAATGTTGGGCTTTACCAACAAAATTTTGCTGATGGTGGATTTAGCATTTCTCAGGTTGTATGCCTAAGTTATAGAATCCTTTTAACTTTACATTCCAAACAAGTTATGCGAGTGTTTGCTCTTCTATGATAAGTAAGCTTTATTGCTAATACAGCTAATTGTGTTTTTATTGTTGATTTTTTGTAATAGTGCAGCTTGATGATGTTGTAAAAGAACTCTACAATCGGAGTGGGAAGAAATGGCCGCTTGTTGTGTTGCACAACAAGCGTCTAAGAGGGCTGATGGAAAATCCTTCCAGCAGAAGACTGGTGGAGGAGTGGATGAATAATGGTGTACTGTATACAACTCCAAATGGATCCAATGATGATTGGTGAATTTCCAAATAAATGTATTTAGCATTGCATTTGCTTTCATTTTTCAATTTCATCTTAGGACAATATGTTTCTTGAACTGTTCGACTGTTTCTTTACTGTACATGCAAAAATGGTAATTTATTATTTGGTTCTCTTAAAATAATTTAGTCTCTTTTGAGCCCTTTTTTCATTTGGGATTAAATTATCTGGTATTTTATTGTGAGTGCATGCAATTGTTTCAATGTAGGTCTACAACTCTAAATTAAATCATGCAGTTTTAGAACTTGAGTTTTTTACCCTCTTGGGTCATCGACCAAGTTGGGTTAAAGATATAATTTTAGTCTAGCCCTGTTGCCTTTCTGGCCTTAGGCTAGATGTCTATGTACTATCCTAAGTCTCTGATCAGAGTTGTGGTTGATTGATCTGGTAGGTGTAGTTGGTTGGTTGACGATTTAGGTTATAAATGGCCACAAAATTTTTAACATTTGATCTATATATTTTTTTTATCAACTCTTATATATTAAACACGAATGACTTATCTTGTGCATGAACGTTTCTAGGGATTCCTTTAACTTATCTAATTTTTTTTATTTATGAATTAAATTTTGATATTTTTAAAATAAATTATCAATAATTATCAATAATCAAAATAACCTTGTACTGCATTATAAATTATTTATCTTAAATCTAAAATATAATTTAATATGTTTAAAAATATCTATTTATACACTTTTATATATGATGTATATATTCAAATATAATATTTATTTAGCATAAAAAAATATAGTATTTATTTGTATGTATGATATACATTTTATTATAAATTATTTATGTATAATAAACATTTAGTCTGTGAAATGCATAGGCTAAAATACTAGTTTGTTATTATTTCAGTTACTAGATAACAATGATTATATATCTCATCATAAAATCTTGTAAGATAAAAGTTAACAATAACAAGATAAAACCATTCCTTTGATTATGAATCGTGAGGGAATAATGGCAAAAAGATGGGTTTACCTTAGTATAAAGGGGTACAATTTCACACAGAGACATGTTACTCATTGAAATGCTCCGACAATAGAACATTTTCTCTGTTGGAACAAGTTAGTGGAGTCATCTATATAATATGTAGCATTTTCTACATTAGACAGCTGAAGCTAATAGTAGGATTCAAGTGAACTCAGGCTAGAAATCTAGAATAACAGAGAAAGACTCAGGGAAAGCTAATCATTTTTTAAGGACTAAAATGTATCTAGTTGTATCTTTTTAATGTTCAAATTGTTAATCTAGTCATCATTTTTCAGGTATTGGCTCTTTGCTGCAGTAAAGCTTAGGTGTTTGCTTGTGACAAATGATGAAATGCGAGATCACATATTTGAACTCATAGGAAGCAACTTTTTTAACCAGTGGAAAGAAAGACATCAGGTATGTTATTTATTTATCTGGGATTACTTACACTAGTCTAGCATTGTGATTGAGTTGTTGCCTGTTCACAATTTAAAATGAGTCTTCTATGGGGAATCTTTCTCCTTTGATTTAAAGCTTTTAAATTAATTAGACTATTCTGCATGTTCTGTTTGGACATTTTTACGCATCTATGTTATTTATGAAATTGGTTAATCTAAGTCAGTTCAGGAGTTTTTTATTCTGATTTCATGACTGTGTCTGCTCATTAAATTTCACTGTACTTATTTCTGTTGGATATTTTTTTTTGGGAGGGGGGGGGGTGGTTGGATGCAGGTGTAGTTGTTTTGTCTTGATTGAACCTTCCTTTATTTTTGAATAGCAAAGAAGCTTTTATTAATAAAGTCAAGCAGGCACAAGGTGTGCCGCGACAAAAGCATTTGCCCATTTTCATTTGTACATGAAAAACAAAACTACGAAGATGTATGCAAAACCGTGAATGAACATAGGAGCAACTAGTGCAAAAACATGATCAATTTTACCAATCCCAAAATGCCTGTGTCGAACGCAGATAACACATTTCTTGAAGTAGTTTGCCTCAAAAACATGAATAATATTCTTTTATCCATCATGCATTGTGTATTCTATGCATTCCAAGAGACTTGACCCCTCCTAATGCATCCATGATGTTGTTTTCTGCATTTCTTGATGGAACATTCATGATTTAACTGTGTATACTATATTGGTGGCATGCCCTTGTTTTTGTAACAAGTTAACTTTTTTCCTCTTTATCTACAGGTTCACTACACTTTCGTTAAAGGAAACCTAAAACTTCAGATGCCACCATCTTACTCCTTGGTTATCCAGGTAATGTTTTGTATGTATTATGATCCATGACATTTGCTTGGAGTGACCATTCTACTGTTCCTGCTGGGAATGTGTTCTGTTCCATGTGACAGCTTTGTATTTTTGTTCTTTTTGTATTTGACTGAAAAGGGAGACAATAGGAAGTTGGGAAAACTAATATTGAAGAGCAAAAACAGATTCTGTTGTATTTAGCGTAAGCTTCAAAACATAAAGGGATCACAGAAGAAAGAATGAAAAACACAAGTACACCTATATTTTTCCAGAGCAAAGCTCCTACAGAATACACCTATACCCTCAGCCTACAGCTGAACAAGAGAATAATCATTCTCTCCTCTAACTGACCTGATCATTTTCATTCCTCTATGCCTTCTGGATGCTACTCTGTAACTAGTGCTGTTTCCAGTTTGGATTTTTCAAGAAACTGACCAAACCAATTTTTTTTTTGTAAAGTGGAACGGTTCGATTTTATCTATAAAATGGATTGGTTCAGTTATCCTCTTTATACTTATGTTTCATTTAAAAAACTGAACTGAATCACTTTATAAAAGTGGTTCAGTTAACTGAACTGTTTTTACAAAGTGATTTGGTTCAATTCTTTTTTCTTCTGAAAACTGTTCAGTATTTATAATCTAGTTGGTATGGTTCAGTTTTGTTGCACACCCTTGTAACTAACTCCCACTATGCCCTACCACCACCTCAACAATTTTCTTTGTCATTCCTGTCAGTGCATATCTCGGTCCATTTGGCACATGAGAGACAATTGGTCTATACCATCTTTCCTCTAGGTTCATCTTCCATATTCTGGTTATTAACAGGGGATATGTATTGTCATTTGATTTGATAACATGATGCCCGAGTATATTCTTAAAGTTTTCCACCTCTAATGTTCATGCAAGTTTATGCACAAATTTCAGTCTGTCTTTCAGGCATCAGGCTGAGGTTTTTACGTGATGACTGTTGTGTTTATTTCCTAGAAGGATTAAATATGTTTTTATTCTTGAACATTTATCGATTTTCACTTTTAGTCTCTTAACAACTTCTTTTATTAGTTTTAGTTCCTAACCTTTTGCCGATTTTCACTTAGTTTTTAAACTTTTCCTCTCATTAACATTTTGGTCTCTAGCATTTAGATTCTTGTTCATGGGGAAAAATTTTAGAGACTAAAACCAAATAAATTGTTTAGGGACTCAAAGCAAAAATTGACAAAAGTTCAGGGATTAAAAATATATTTAATGTTTCCTAGACTTAGTGCAGAGACAGATGAGTTTTTCTTAATTAGTCTGAAATGGCATTTTTGTGAAAATAGTAATGCTTAAATATATATTTTATGTTTGCATTTTAGATTTTTCATTTCTTAGGTATGGTATGTTTTCATTGTATTTGTTGTTGATAACCAGAGTGGTAACAGTGGAATGTACTTGCAAATGTTTGGTGTTAGGTCTGATATCTGAGCAAGATACCTACAGTTTGTTTACTAGGGTATGGATTAATCATAGATACCTTGGATGCCCTTTCTTCAACTCAAGCGACCAATGCGTGTGGGAATGTGATTGTGATGATGTCTTTCCAAACCTATAGGAATCTCAAAATACCCAAGCACGGGCTTTCAACCTCTTTTCGATGAATTGCTGTTCTTGGCTTCTTTCCTCTTAATTAGTTTCACATCACAAAATTAATTTAGAAATTGGTAAATGTATATATTTAGAAATAAAAGGTGGATATCTAAAGATTGTTGAGTACAACCAGGCAAGTTGGAAAGAGCATTAGCATTATACATGCTTAGGCATCTAATGTGTGTTTCCTACCATGAAAATCGTAAATACTTTAGCATACTAAATGTTTGTATGCTATACGTTTCAATTGTCAAATTCAGAACTACTTTGTTTCTTGACAACTGTTTCTAAATTCTGTTCTTGTACGAACTGAAAATTTGTGTTTCAGGAATCGGAAAAAGGTTATTGGCATGTACCTTTAGTACCAGGCATTAGCGGTGAATCTACGAGATGTTGGCTCTGCATTACCCGGCCAAGTGGTCATGAGGCTGTTATTACTGATTCTAATGGTGTTAGTAGCTTGGATTCCCAAGTCAATGAAAACAATGCAACTTCCGTCACTGGTAAAAGAAAAGAGACGTCTCCTCCTTCATGATAAATCTTTCCGTGGGCTTGCCCTTTGTTAAGCTTGTCCTTTGACTGCTTTGGGGTTACTGGTGGCAAGATGAACAACAGCAACCTTTTCCGCAGTAGTTATTGAGCTTCTACAAATGATTTTCAGCCTATTTAAATGTTATATTGTAACCCCTCCCAATATACCCAAATTATACTGTTTTATCTCATTGTTGTAATTATGTAAGAGGTTTTGTGGGGTCAGTCATGGTTTTTAGTGGCTGATGACATACATAACCTGTTCAATGAATAACTAAAAAACCATCATCTAGTCCAATTATATAGTTTTGTTACTTTATAAAAAGCTAAACGTTCAAAAATTAGTCCCCTCCCCCCTTCTACCCACCCAAGGGATTCTTATATTTCAAGAAAATTATTTCAATAAATAGCAATATCATGGATAAGGACGGTCACAACCTACATGATATTGTATAAATTTCTTGAATCATTGATTGGACTCTACAAACTAGAAATGTCATTTCTTAGATAAAGGAAGTGATTCTTACCTTTGAATGGTTATGATGTGTTTGGATGATGAATTTATATAGGGTAATTTATTTATTTGAAGAATTTTAAATTTCTTGAGGTGAAATGTTTTGTTTGGATGAGGAATTTACAAAGAATTTGAAATCTAAGTATTTGTGAAATTCTTTCAAATAGTAGAATTTTAAATTCTCCCAAAAATGGAAGAATTTGAAATTCCTCATATTTGTTTTTTTATTTCACCTATATATTTTATCTTATCTCTTCATTCTTTTAATTATTAGATATTCAAAAATATTTTTAAAGTTATTAAATATTATCTAATATTAATTTTTAAAATTTTTAAAAATTTAAAAATAGATTAATATTTATTTTATAAAATTTAATTTTAAAATCTCAACATATGAATATATTTTTAAAATCAATTTTATTATGATAGAATCAAATTATCATATTCAACCTAATAATTTAAAATTTAAGAAATTTGAATTGACTCATCCAAACAAAATATTTTAAGAATGATAGAAATTGAAATCAAAGTAATTCAAATACTAAAAATTTAAAATTCCTTGAATTTGTAAAATTCTTCATCCAAACATACCATTAAGGTTACCTCGAGGTAAACAGTTGAATTATGTGTTTATTTAAAAAGTTTTTATAATATGAAAAATTATATTATAAATTTGATTATGAAAATCATTATAGTATACAATAAATTATGCAATGTATTTTAATAAACTTTACTAATAAGTTTACTTAAATGAGTTATAAACGGTTTATAGGCGTCATAGGAAACCTTTTTACGTTTAAATAAGCGTTCTGGATGTTCTAAATGCCTCCTTAATTACTTATATAAAAAATGCTTCCTTAATTTATATTTAATAAATAGCTTTTTCATGTATTATTATTTATGCATCCTTAATTTTATTGCACTCTATAATTATTTGATTATATTTTATTGACGTGAAATTTTGTCATTAAAAAATTATCAGCGAAAGCTAATTAAGTAATTATTCAGGTTAAAAAAAAGGTAATTATTCAGGGGTTCTAGAAAAAAGTTTATGAAGTATTTGTTGGATTCAACTTAACTCAATTTTAAGATATTTTATGAATTATGTATATGAATAAAAAAAATACTTTATTTATTTTACAATGATAACAATTTAGAATTTTTACACATAGATTAAAAATACTTGTTTAATATACGTATTAATTTGAGTTGTAGTGATTAAATAATTTATAAAAAAGTAAATATGAAATATAAGCAATTAATATTATATTAAAAATTAAAAACATCATTTATTTTGGGATATTTTTAGAATGTTAATTATAGCAATCTTTATTTAGGATACTCTTTGCTAATCAGCAATGGAGTTGGGAGAGATGTATAAGGATTTAAATTAGTTGTAATTTTTTTTTTTTTGCCTATTGTTTACAGAAAAACTTAATCAGAAAAACTTAATCAGTACCCTGAGAGCATTTCTAATGAGTTGCTTACAAGTAACCCCACTTATCACATCAGCCTGAAAAAGAACAAGTGAGTTGCTTAAAATTTATCAAAATTGCTTATATAAACACTAATTCTTAAAAAAAAAAGAAAAAATGAGGCTGATGTGGTAGGAAGTTACTTATAAGCAACTCTACTACAGCTCTTAGAGCTATTGTGTAACATGCTCTCATATTATTATTATTTTTATTATGATTATGATATCGAAAAGCGAAACAGAAAGAAACCAGCCTATTTAAGTATTTAACCTCGTTGAGTGTCTCCATATGTTCATGCCCGAGTGGCTGAGATAGAACGATAACTTGACATAATTCTTGGGCAGACCCAAATGGCACAATGAAATCAAGTGCAAAAGAGTAACTATTCATGGTTTTTATTCTTTTGAATTCAGACCGGTAAATATCAACAGCAACGCTAGATTAGCTTGTATTTAATTTTAATTTTATGAAAAAATTGAATCACCTCAGCGGAGAATACAACCAATCCTGAAGAACAAGATATAATTTGAGTTTGAATTTTTCTTCAAATTGGCGAAAGTGCACATAAAAATACAAAATACAAAATATTCACTCCACAAATCAAACACTTAGAGCTACGAGGTGAAATTCAATAATTTATAACAAATACACGTACATGCAACAAATTCAAGCTTCATAAGACCACGTAATTACGTATCACTTGACGGCATACTTGATGATACCAGGAATATGCACATTCATGAAATAATCCTCCCAATCAATTATTTTGGGGTCAAAGTAAAAGATTTCCGTCTCTGCCCCACCTTTTCTTGCCAACGATAATAACTTTTCTGAATTCCTATTATCAAATCTGTCCAAAACAAGCACTCTCAGCTAATGAATATTAGTAATTAAACAATATCTTACTTATTTGCTGCTATATATAATAATTAACTTACAGTCCATTGAAGAACAAGTAAGGCTTGTAAATTTCAACCAATCGCATCACAGTACGTATCTTCCTATTGAAGTCAACACACATTTCCTCAAAATAATGGCATGAAGCCGCATTCACCACCTCTAGTCCCTATTAAACGCAAACAATATTAAGCAGATTGGTGAGTTCAAAAATTGTTAAGCTCATGAAATATCCACATGATTTGTGATTGCATGAAAATTAGAACTTAGAAGGTATGTGAATTATAGAAATTAAGTATCTGAAGTAACCTTTAAGGGAAGCAGGTAACGAATGTACATATATCTGCGGAAGCTAGCCATGTTGCTCAGTATGTTAACTTTGCCAACCTTCACGGGCTTTCCATCCTTGTTTATCCAAGGTTTTTCTGTGAAATATTTTAAGCTATAGTCTCGAAGATTAAGGTACCTAACTGAATTTACAGTAGAGGAACCCACATGATATATGATATCACTAAGACTAGGTTCTTTTGCATGAGCTACCATTGCCACTATCATTGCATTCACTACCATGTCAGCTGGTATCTGTTTCAAATTCATCAGCATTAACATATATATGTATTCACTTTTCGAAAAGAATGAGGAGGAAATGCTCAATTAAAAGAAAACAAAAGGGTTAGTTTTTTATGACTTACCACATCAAAAATTGCCTTGAGATCCACAAGGAAAGAGGTTAATTTTCCTTTACCATAAGCAACTATTATGCTGTCTATGGTTCTGTATAAAAAACTCACGATCAGATTAGAAAAATATGGGTAATGTGTTTCCATTATTGAATATCACATAATTTCTTGGAAAGCAAACTAAGAGACAGAATAAGATTTGATGATTTACCTTAAACCTTCGATCCAACCAGGGAAAGGTTCTTTGTAAGTGCTAGTGATGATTGTGGGACGTACAATTACAACATTAATGTTTCCCTTTGAGGTTCCTACTACCATTTCTCCCATTGCCTTTGTGAAAACGTATGTGTTTGGCCATCCATACATCTTTGCTCTATTAAGTAGTCAAGAAAAACGACCAAACACGTATTCAAGTTTTGGCAATTCTTGAAAAGGATAATACAAAAGGATAATCAGAACAAATACCTTTTACTACCCAAGTCCTTCATGGCCAATCCAATATCATGTTCTGTGGCTCCGTCTTCTCTAAGCTCATTCAATTTCTCATCCACCCTTTTCTTTTCCATATCAATGTCTAGTCCTGGCACTCCATTCAGTGACACTCCATAGTGATATGGATCCTCTAGTATGAACCCTCCTCTCTCTCCACATACATAAGCTGCATGGGATGGCAATAAAGAATTTATCAGAAATTTTATTCAAGATATTCCATGGACATGGCTATATCTCTCACGATATGTAAGTGTGTGTATTTATGATACTAACATAGCATCGTTTCCACTCAATTGTAATTGATCACTAGCTAGCTATGCCAACAAGGTGGGCACCAACTTTGACGCTATAAACTACATCAAGGATAGAATTGAAATGGTTTTCTGTATATTTATCAGCATTATTTTCATCAGGAGTACTGTGACATAATATAGATATATAATACAGTGCACTGTTTATAATATAACAATAAAGAAATTATCAGAAATTTTACTTAAGATTTTCCATGGACATAGTGGCCATATTATAGTCTCACCATATAAGTGCGGATGTCTAGACTAGAGTTTATATATATTTGTTAGAAGTTGAGATTTTTCTAGATACTTTAAGAAAATATTAAATATTTATGTGTTTTATTTCTATCTTAGTTGCTACTGAGGTGGTTAGGTGTAGATAAGTGTTAATCCTTATTTCAAGGGATTTTTTTGTTGCTTGGTCAAATGTTTAGGTAAATAGGAGTGTTTGTCCTTATTTTGTGGAGATTTACTGCAGCGTATGTACTGCATATCAGAAGCCCCCTTGACATATATTGGTGTAATGTAACTTTCGAAAGTAGAGTAAAAAGAGTAATGAAATGTTGTGACCACTTTTCTTCCTTTCTTTGAAACACCAAAAACAGAAACTTTACTTCTCTGTTCCAGTTTTTCTGTTCTAGTTTTTGTGTTCTGGTTTTTTAACAATATTAATATCCAGCATAGTTTCAATCGTAATTAAACACAAGCTTGGTCAACAAGGTCGGCACAAAATTGATGCTACAATTAATCTACATCAAGGAGAAAATGATTTCCTGTATAAGTGTATATTTCGTAAGCATTATTTTCATCAAAAGTATAAGATATAGTACACGTGATCCTAATATAACTTGATAGAACAACCTTGAGGAAAAAAAAATGCATCTATATGCATTAGAATACTGAAAGTTTTATTTTGATGACAGAAACATCTGAAGATCGAATGGGAGATTTGAATCGGTTACTGTAATATTAATTATCATGGGCATGCACATATATATACTTACCTGTTGATACGTGGACAAGCACCTTTAGTTTAACGCATTTTTTGGCGAAGTTCAACACATGCTTAACTCCTAATGTATTTATACCCAATGCAACATCGTATCTGCATTTTATAGGCATAAGAAGAACCGAAAAAATATAATTTCATTTTAGCTAGAGAGAAATAAATGATTATTTATAAATGTGAACACAGACACACATATATATAATTTTAAAATTATATCACCTTGAATATACCTTTCAACAAAGTTTGTTGTTGCAGCTAAATTAACTATAACATCTGTTTGACTGCAAATCTCTTCCCCTAGAATGGAGTCTTTCAAATTCAGGTCCTCTTCAGAAATGTCTCCAGGCACCAAAGTCAACTTTTCTGATACAAAGAAATCGAATCTTGTACCAAGTTTTTCCTTCAGCAATCTAAATAAGTCCTTCTCTATGATCTACGTACAAATGAAAATTCAATAGTGTGCATCAAGTTTATATACCAGACACATACTAATTGTTCAAAAAGTAGGATATATGCGATTAAGACTACTAAAATTCAAGCTACAGGTTTACTAATTAATAAAAAATTATTTTCTCTTAGTTTCAACAAACCAATTAAGCCACATATATTAGTAATATATTAAATATATGACTTTCTCATTCAAAATATAAAAAAAAATTTATTTCAATTTTTTCTTGAGGTCTCACTCACCCTTGGCTGGTTCCTTCAAAAAGCCGCGAAAAATAATATCAGGTTTGTGAGAGGGGAACATGGAAATGATATTTAGTATTCACTTCAAAAGTGAATATCAGGTTTAATAACAAAATAACTTATTTGTGTTGACTCGTCAACTGAGTACAAACACATTTATTATTCATATCTGTGGTACTTGAGAGTTGAAACTCATGTGAATCTTTAATTTTACATTAAACATATTGGAGAGGTTCTGATATGATATATTTTAAATTTTTTATAACTTGATAAATGTTATAGAAAGTTGTAATGTACATTCACCTCAGTGTGTAAGCGTTGAGTAGCAGATTCAGTATCTTTGGCTCTCAAAAGAAGATAAAGTTTCTTGACATTTGGTTGAGCCCTCAATATTTTCTCCACAAAAACTGCAATCATACAAAGAAATTAACACATCGTAACTATAATATATATATATATATATATATATATATCTTAGTATATATCAGTATGAGCACAATAAGCAAGGAAGAGAGAGAGAGACAGACTTTTTGCAAGGAAGCCAGTGGCACCAGTGACTAAAATGGTCTTATCTTGAAGGAAGTGTATTATGCTTTCCAATTCCATTGGAGTTAGATTATGAAGAATTCTAAATGAACCAACCTTAATCAAACAATAATATGACACTACTGTTTTGGCTTAATGTAATGCGAGAGAGACTTTTAGCGAGGAAGCCAGTGGAACCAGTGACTAAAATGGTTTTATCTTGGAGGAAGTGTAATATGCTTCCCAATTCCATTGCCAATATTTGGAGATAGATTACGAAGATTTCTAAGTGAACCAACTGACATGCACAATTCTGTTGGCTTAATTTGTAATGCCCCTCTATGGCCTTAACCATGTATCTATTTATAGACACATTCATTTTAAAGGAAAGATCGAATGACATCATTAATTACTTGTTAGAGCATATGCATTAATTGTTTCCTAACTCTGAAATGGGAATATGATGCTTTCAGCTCATCCACCCTCGTCAACAAATTATGGTTGTCAAAGTCGGTAATTAATTACGTTATGGCACAATATTCAACACAGATATCTCAATACTCAACCTAATGTGAGTCCAATCTTGATGCTTAACGGTTGGGGATTTCAAGGGGTATCAGGACATAGACAAAGGAATGAAATGTATGAAAAAGATATGTGCAGCAAAAAAGGAACCCTATGGATTTTTTTTTCTTCTATTGAGCACTATCGTTAATTAAAAGCAGTTTTATTCGAGTCGATAGAATTATTATAAGTGACAAATTTTTTTTTAATATATAACATGGAAACATATATAGTGAAAATTCAAACTCAATCTTTGTTTAAAGTAGAACTAGTAGGTGATATAGAGATGGATAACACCATAAAATCAATATAGTTTCTTATTTAATATTTAGTTATTAAGAAGAATGTTACTTCTTTTATTTAAAAAAGATTTTTTTATTAAAAGAATTTCTTGAAGAAAAAAATTATAGACATTAGGAATATATATAGCATATATTCAGACATTATTTTTTTTAAAATTTTTTTAACCCTTTTAAAAAATTGCATAATAATAATTAACTAAGGTTAAAAAGTATTTTATTTATTTTTTAAGTCTCTCAATAACTGTCTACTTCCTTCACTGACATATATGTATTTAAAGAAAGACAAGTAGTGTCTTTTACCTACAAGTACAAATAAAGACAATTATTATCTTTGTTTCAGGCAAACTATTTTTAAAAAATTTATTATTTATCCAATAATACCTAAAATTTTTCAACTGTATAATCAACTTAAAATGATTTTGAAATATCATCATTGAATTTTGAAAATATGTTGTATCTCTTTAAGTTTTAGCGAAGATCCCACCTTGATTTAAAAAATAATATATACTTATTATAAATAGGATATGGGAGTAATAACCTTCTTGATTTTTATTTTTTAATTAGAAATTTTTATCACTACAAAAAAAAATTCATATATACAAGGACACACAATTTTTAATGACATTATATTTGTTATTAAAAATTATTTTTATCTACAATATTGATACATATATGTTGATATATTGTTAAAAATATAAGTATATACTACAATGACACACAATATATGTTATTAAATTTCATTAATTAACACTAATTTTTTTTAATTATATATGAAATAAATTTATATTTATATATTTTGTACTTATAATAATATTTTTTATATATTAATATAATAACATTTCTTGTAGTATATCTTTAAAAACAAACATACTTTATAATCATCTTCCTTTAAAAATTTTCAAAAATAAATATGTAGAAGTACAAAGTGTCTATTTTCCTTACAATAGTATATATAAGGTGAGATTGGGAGGGAACAACTCTTGTTCTAACAATTGTACTGTTAACCCTCACATATTGATGTATACACAAAATTCAAAAATGTTGTATAGAAAGTAGTCAATTTATGTTAGGGATAAGTTTTTCAATGGTTACTTTTATTTTCTTTGTTTGAGTTATATTTTTCTCGAAAAAAATAGCCATTTTAATCCTTTTTAAAATCTTGAGAATACTAAAGAAAATAAATAATCTTGAGAATACAGAACATTTTGCAATTGGATGTTTCTTGAAATGGTTTTTTTTTTTTGTCTTTTTCTTTTATTAAGAAACATATATTCGATGCATTTTCATGTTGTTGGAATTTAAATAAACTTTAACATAGCATTAAAAAAAACACATAGCATTCAAAAACGGAAACGTCTACGTTTGGTGACATTCTAATTTTAACTTATAAATAACCTTATTCAAAACAAAACTGCTAAATACATCATCTTACTAAACATCACTTTAATTAACATGCATGAAAGGTTGCAAAAATTGTATATAAATGTTACTAATTTGCTTTCGCAACATATTATCAAATATTGTATATAATTTATGTTACTAAAGACTTTTAGTAACATTTTTACATAATTAGACAATATTTTTTAAATATTATCAAAGTAGTATTTTTGTAACATTTTAATGATGTTGCTAAGTTTTTGTTAACTTTATAAAATGATAATTAATTTTAACTTAAATATTATTATCAATTATTATATTTTAATGTCTCCTAAACTCCTAGGAGTTATTTTTTTTGGTTCGTCAAGATTTAACGCGGCTGCATACACAAGGCAGGATTCGAACCCTTGACCTTGCTTAAGCGTGGATCAACCCCTACCGCTGAACCACACGCTTGGGGTTTCCTAGGAGTTATTTAAGAGAGGATTAAAGATATTCTTAATTAGTTACTACTAATTATCAAAGTTCATTTATCTTAAGTATAATTTTATGATTACATATATATACTTTTTATTAGTCATTCATTTATTCGATGTGAGACTTTAATTATGGGTAATAATTAGAGATGTGAAAAATATTTTTTTTACTCGATATGAGACTTTGATTTTAGAAACAATTATAGTAACATTTTTTTTAAAATTGTTGCAAAATAACCTATTTGACATTTTTTTTACTTAGTACGAGAATTTGATTTTAAAAACAATTTGAAAAAATAGTATTAAAATAAAAAATTTACTCTATCTATAATGACATTTTCAAAAAATATTACAAAATAACCTATTTATTTGATATATATATATATATATATAATATTTTAATAAATATAAAAAAAATATTACTAAAAAATTAAAATATAATAATAACATGCAAATAAATAAAATATTAATAATTTATGCTTTAACTAGCCTATGTAAAATTTTACTATAGTTTCATCCAGAAAATAGAAAAAATCAACAGCAACAACAACCAATAATACTACTATTACACCTATATATGTTTCAGTAGTCAACTACTTATTTCTCTACGAAAAACTCTTCAACAAGCATTCAAGCAATGATTGTTGCTAGCTCATTGCTTCTAGCTTGTACGATCATGGAATTATTGCTCTTTGAAGAATTTTCATTTAATTACTTCCTACCAAAAGACACGTGTTTAAAAGAAAATGTAGAAGACATATATACGCACGGGCAGTGATCCACGCTGTGGGACATTTAAGTTTTTTATGATAATTTTTTTTATACATTATAATAAAGTATATTATAATAATTCGGCATGATTGTTACACCTAACAAATTCTACTTGCATCACAATATTTAAATATATGTAAAATAATATATACTTGTAAAATTTAAAACAATTAAAGATGTAAAATAATTACATAAGTATATAGACTATGTATAATAATTTAGTAGTGAATACTAATCTTAAGTTCTCAATCAAGTAATTCTACCAAAACATTCAACTAACATTACAACATCATTAATCATTATTTTCTCTATTTTTTTTTCATAGTTGTCGTTTTGTTTTGCCGGTATTTGTTTTTTTTTCATTGTCACTTTTTTAAAATCAATGACTTATTATTTTTTTTATTTATTTTTACCCTTTATAATTATTGTGTGTTTACTGAACAATGTGTCTATTCATTTTCTAATGTACCTATTTCTTCTCCAATCACCTAAAGGGTATAATAGGAAAATATGTAATAAATACTTTAAAAAACTAAAATATCAATCATTGTCTTAATTCTTGTGCATAATCACAATGAAAAAAAACGGAGGGAGTATATTCCAATCCCAAAACCTTTGATTTCATACACAACAACATTGATCCCCTAAATGCACAAGCCATCATTGAATTGATTAATTCAAGATAAACAAAAGAATCTTAGCATAAAACACCAATACATCTCCAATTGATTTCATACACATGAATTTCCCATTAAACAAACAATCTAGAGGGCTTAGGGATCGCCTCTATACCTTTATCCCTCATATATGCCTAAGGACTTGATAATCTCACTTCCCCTACCTAGAGTGATGATTCTCGTGGAACGATACTCCTCTGGTAGCTCCTATTGCTAATCTATGTCTTTCTTGATGGTCTCCTCTAAGTTTCTTCCTATGAGTGCTCTAGGCTTCAGAATATGCGTAACGACCTAACCCCCTCTCTAGTTTATCTCTCTAAGATTATGAAAACTGAATTTATGAGACTTAATTCTTAACATGAACCTTATATATTTCTTCCCATAGGGTCAAATTGGGCCTTTAGAAACCCTCTAAAATACCTAAAGACTCTTCAAGAGTTCCTTATTTCCTAGAGTCTCTCAACCACATCTCAAAACACTACACAACACATAATTATTGATAAAAACATACTAATTAACGAAAACTTACGGTGCTACATATACCACTTACCATGTTAAAAATTAAATGCTCTTATTTCTTTTTTGTGTTTTTATGTTGTATAAAAAAGTCAAAATTAATACTATTTTTAATTTTTTTTAAATGTACTTGGGTGTAGCTTGCTAACTTACTCTTTTTTAAAAAATATTACATGTGTTCCTATACATAAAACCTAATTTACCAAGATTAAGGAAAATATTTAATTTAATTGATAATAATAAATTTGTCATATATATATATATATATATATATATATATATATATTAAAACTATCCTTATACTATTTTTCTTTCCTAATTAATATTCATATATCTTATAATCAATTAAAGTACATATCTTATATTATTTTTCTCTCCTATTTAATACTCATCTTTCTCCTAATCAATTAAAGTGCATGTTCTTTAAAGAATTTATAGTTTAATGCACAAATACATATCTTATAGTTCTTTGAAACAAGATAATAGAGCAGAAGCGTATACCCTCTAAATTTTCTTAACAAATGTTTATAGATTGATTACCATTGTCGCTAGAAGATATAAACACCATTAGGGAGCAATGGACTACATTTTTTATTTTGTAGTTTAGGATGCATAATAATTTGTAAGTTACTTAACTT